ACCACTTATAACATTATGAATCCTAAAAGCAACAGTAATCTTTAGAGTCATAACTCTATCTCCAATTTTATTAATTTTTATAGCATTATCTTTCAAACTCTTATCAATAACTATATCTACGTCATTTCTAATACGACTTTTATCTGAATGCCAAAATTTAAAACCTAACCTATCAATCTCTTTAAAATTTTCTCCAACACATTAAGTTTATTGAATGCATAAGATATTTATCTTTCTATGAATCATAATATCTACTAAATAATTAATTTATCCATGAGAGTGCCTACGTTTCAAATTTCTATCCTAAAATTTAGTTCATGAACTAACTTATTTGCTTGCATCCGTCAACAATATGGAAACTCGCGCTTACTTAACATTACGCCCAGATGTCTGTACAATAGTTATTGCACATTTTTCACTGTATTCAAGACATTCAACGCATCATTTTCAAGAATTTCTTTAGTATTGACACAAAAATCTAAATGAATCATCTCATAACTTTTCCAAAAAAAAAAAAATTTATTGTCTTCCTTTACCAGCTTGTGAATACTTTAGATCCCATTACACACTTGTCAAAGAAACTTGTCTCACAAAAACTGCACTCAAGAATAAAATTTAATATATTAAGGTGATATTCGACTGGATGGATTAAAGTTACATGTATTTTGAGAATGCAAATTAAAATGAATATGATGCAACCTAATAGCTCAGATTTATTCAATGGTTGTAAAATAAATATAAGAAAATCATTTTGTTGCTTTTTTGGCTATAAAGTATTCCAACATTCTCCCTCTTCACTTATATTCTCCTCCATTCTACAATCATCAATGCCAAAAGAAAATTATAAACATTATTCAAGCTTATGATTCTTCACCTTAAATTTCATACACCTGCCATTAATTAAATTGAAACTTTGATGAACTTGAGCAGTTCTTGGTGAAAAAGGTTGGAGGACAAAAGGCAAGTTTGGTGACCACAATTGAATGCAAATCCCTTGTCCTCCATGCCTTCACTAATAACATCTCTCACTTTATGTATTCTCTTCCTCTCCTACCTTCACTCCCTCCTCACCGCACTCTCAATCCCTTCTTCCGCCTCATTGCCAGATTCATTGGCTCAATCCTCTCTCTCTCCACCATCTACCTCCTCTAAGGTATTACTAAGTCAAGCCGACTCAAAAGCCAGCTTAAGCACAACTTGATAAATGGCTAATAAGCCGAGCTTATTGACCTAGCTAGCCATAACTCGGCTCGTCAACTTGTGTGTCGACTCATTTAAAAAATATTAATAACAAACACTTAAACTATATAAGAATTCAGTGATTTAAATATGAAGTTTGTAAGTTTGTTAAAAGCTATACTTTGCTTTCCTTATTTCAATGTTTCTTATTAATTCTTACCTAATTTCTTATTATTTTCATCATTTTATTATAATAAATGCTTGAATAGAAACCATTTTTTTCTTTCATAATAAATGAGTTGGCTGGTGGGTAAAGGTATTTCTATTTTTACAAATTCCTTTTGGTCACAAAGGCGCAGTTTCAACTCTTCACTTCAAGGCAAGAAGCACTCAAAATTTTGCATGGTCCTCCTATCTTATTCTAATCCTCTTCCCACAATGATGACCAATGTTGCACGATAACTTCTCCTTCACTTCAACTTTACAATTTAAGAACAAGTTTTGCAACTACATCAAGCATGCAACAATAAAGATATCAAAATATGCTCCCATTAGTAAAACCATACAGGAAAAGCCATTACAAACATAATTTAGCATAAAATATGTTTGTTAAAGCAAGAATTTCAAATGACTGTAAACCCATGAATAGTCAATAAACATGAAGGAAAATAGAAAGAATGGATTACAAAACCTAAAGATTTTGAAAAAAAATGTCTGGACCGTGGAACTGCTCATAAAAAATTTGCAAAAAAGAATAACTTGTAGAAAAACCCTAAATTCATTGTTCGTGAAAAAAAATCAAGCACCAAATGAATTAGGGCGCAAATATATTGTACAAAACCTTATACAAGGTCATAATATTGTTAAAAAGCATTTTAAACAAATTAAAAAAAAGAAAATTATATAAGAAAATATTCAAAGCAGCTATGATTGAAGCATATATGTAATAATTTGTCATGTGACCTCTGAATTAAACTTTCCACCGTTGTTTTCCCCGAAGTAGAGAGCTAGAATCGTCTACATTCTCTTCAAAGACTCTATATTGAGAAGGGTGGATTCGAGCTCCAACCACAATCTCTTACTTTCATCCCTGTCATAATACATTATAAGTGAATGATGGTTTAGGAATCTATAGAACTTTTAATTAGTTTGCTGCAAAAGGACATATTTGACCCGCAAAATCAACCTCAAGCATGTGTAAGAGTTAATGTTTCCATTAAAAATTAAGTGATTTTCCCAACCATCATCTACCACATAGCCACCAACCATCCTATTAAATTGCACTCCCCAAGAACCAACTACCCACCATCAACTGACTCATTTATTTGGCTAGAAGTTTATGTATAAGGCTGCAAAATGCATTGATACTAACAGTTCAAAGAAAAGCTTAAGGATGTAGGAGTGAGATGTTCAGCTTGTTTGGGTGTGAGTTCCCAATAAAATGGGCAAGTGAATCCCTGTTTAGTTGTGTAAATGAGTCACCAAAATTTTTATAGGAATGGAACATGACTTATCTCATGTAATTTTCCTTTCATGATAATTAAATTCCTATCAACATTCAATTTCACGTTATTTTGTGCCTACACCAAATTAATAGGTATGAGAGCGAATTTCAACATAGCTTACATAAAACATTTTCATAGGCATTGATTGACAATGATGGAGAAAGTGTCTCATCAAATATTAAGCACAAAAACGAGATTCTTCTATCAAAAAGAAGAAAAATGAAATATAAATTTGAAATTAAGTGGTCTTCCTATCACATACCATATATCCAACCACCTCAATAATTTGTAATTCAAACTACTGACAACCCCCACCAACTACCATATATATTAGCTATGAGATTATTTTAAAGCCATAAAAGGCATGGATATGAAAATACTTTAGGGAGAGCATAAAGTTTAGAACGTGAGATGCTCCACTTTATTGGATGAGAGAGTTCTCAAGATAATGAATGAGTGAATCCCCACTAGTTATTAGTGAGCGAGTCCCCATTATTTTGGGTGATGAATTTACACTTACCTCGTGTAATTATTTTTCACAATAACAAAATCCTCTTTTGATCTACTTCGTTTTTTAGGCTATACCAATAAAGTTTTCTTAAAATGTAGACTAATGTGAAGTGATCCAACACCTTAAGAACCTAAATGTAATTTACCCTGCATAAATAATAAATATTTTATCAAATTTATTAAAATATATATTGATAAGGGTGTCATATAATCATATTGCTACACAAATATATGAGCTAAGAAAATAATATATAGATGATGATGATGATTGGTTAAAATCTAAAATGGTCCCAATGCTTATATTTTGTCAAGTTAGTCACAAAGTATCACTTTTCTACAACTTATTTCCTCACCTGTATAAAAGTGATTCAAAATAGTTGACTAAATTAGGATCAATATTTTATGTCTAGAGGCCAGATTGAGATTAAATTTGCATCCCACTATATGAGAGACCATTTTGGATCAATTTTACATAATCAATAGACAAGTTTGAAGAAATATGATACTTTATGGATAAATTAGTCACATATTTTGAAATTTAATCTTAATAATAAAATGCATAAAATCTAAATTAAATTTTAGAAAAATTTGTAGAGTAATGATTAAATTGCCTTCACTAAGGGATTTGAATGATATAATACGTTATTTGTAATATATTGGTAGGCCTGTCTATATTAATCTTTTCCTAAAACCATGGAATGAAATGGGGCCTCATTCAATAAAAAAGCTCTTCATATAAGATGTAAATTTTTAAATTAGAATATCATAAAATTAAACATTATGCGACTACCAAAATAAAATAAATAAATAAATAATCTAGAAGAATACAAAAGAAAATAAGGAGCTTGCATATTGCCTTATTTGAGGAGAGCACCTAAGGAAACAAAGAATAAAATATAAGATTGCAATTGTTAATACAATAAAATGATACAAGCTAGTACAATCACAACATAAATTTCACATCATATACCATATCAAAGAAAAAAATGAAATATAATTGATTTTAAAAATTACATTAAGGTGACAGTATCTTAAAAAGTAAGTAGAAAATTTTTAAGAAAATGAGAATCGGGAGGACCAATAAAAATTTCATCTACATCATGGGGGTTGGAACCTCCTACTGATTAGCCTAAACTATCAACTACTTCTTGATGAGAGAAGATGGAAACCATATTCCATAGTTCGAAAACCTTTAAGACTATATTATAGGCCTCAGGTGTCATTCTTTGGCATTGTCTGTGGTGAAATAGCGCTTTCGCAATGTAGAATAAATCCTCTTAAACTGCAAGGGTGATAACGGCAGGAAAGATATAAAAGTGTGGGCAGCTTCATACCAAACCAAACATGCAAAATATTATTTAAATTGCATTCTCATAACTAATAGCTGGTAAACTCATCCAAAAAATTTATGAAGAAAAAATGGAAAATAAATAACGATGCCATAATGAGGAAAATAACAGACTTAAGTTGGATGAAAGGTCTGAATAAAGACTTGAACTCAGATAATCTAAGAAAATAGATTGGTTACTTCTGAACTACTTATGGGATAACATAAATAAGCTTAAAACTTAAAGGTGAAAGATAGAAGAAATAAATGCGGTCCAACAAAATTATCATAGCAAAATTGAAGGTTAATGGGCTCCAAATTTTATGTTAATCAAGAACATTCTTAAAGCCACCAAAGTTTACCACTTATAGACTTGTACGATGGCAATTACACTTATTAAGGTTGAACTAATCACCTAAGAACTACCATAACATAAAATATCATGACAAAAAATGATGATGTAACATATGGCCACTCACTTTGCAACTTTTTCTGGGGTGACGTATAACAACTTGTATTTGCAGTTATCGGATTGTAATTCTCTAAGAATCTCTTGCTGTTCAGCCCATTCCATATTGCCGCTGAGGTAAGCAGCGGGAATATTTGCCTGTGAATTTTGTATCACCATGAAAAGCGTCAAAAATAATCATTATGCATGAAACTGTAACAAACAACTGTTAGGTAGAGAATACTACTTGTAGAAGATGCATTATTTGGTCCTGGATCAACGAAACAAGAGGTGAAACCACCAATGTCAATCCTGGGCAAATGAGGGCTGGAAGCTACAGAAGATTTGAAATCGGGACATAAAGGTGGGAATTCAATGAGCATAAATAAATGAAATAAATGGAAGAGTACATTTAACAAGTTTGCCCACAAAAAATTCATATGTAAAACATCGCATGTAAAAGAGAATAAAACTAGTATAGAAACAATTGTATTGGTAAACTACGGGTCTGTTTGGCGCAGCTTATACCTGCGTTCGGCGTTTTCGGAACACCGGGATACCGTTTGAATAATGTGTTAGGGTCGGCGGTGAAAGAACGCGCGTAAGGGTTTATGTTATTATTCGTTCTTTCATCCGCCACTCTAATTACCCCGCGTTCCGCGTTTACTCACAAATTATTATTCGGCTGCCCCTCAATCCCGTCTCGCCGTCGTTGCCCTACATCTGCGATCAGACTTCCCTGATCTCGGCTCTGTTCCTCGATCCCATTTCGCGTTGCCCTAACTTCTGGAATGAGGAGGGGAGGATCCAAGAGAGTTCCAATCATTTTGTACTCACCACCAAGAGGGAGTTGCAGGCAGAGACTTCCCGTCAGATGCTTTTTGGCGACTCCTTTGATGTTTGCTTCAAAAGGTATTAAGATTCCTTTCTGTAGCTTGATCTTTATTGCTGCGCTTCTATCTTCATCGTATTGGTTTCTTCTCAAAATTTATTTTCTTTTACTGCTTTCTGTTAAATTTGTTTCATCCCTTTGATTTCTATTATGGACTCTCAAGTGAAAGTGTACTTTTATTGTTGGGGAAAATTAAACCAAAGTTCTATAAGTATGGCCACTATCTATTTTTAGTTCTTTGATTTGCATCCATTGCTTTTAGTAAAATGATATGAAAGTAATCTTTTCGACCTGAATTATCTTTCTGTAGTGATGAATATATTACAAGGGTGCACAGGATTCTGAAACCAGTAGGTAAAAATAACCTGGGTAAATTATCAACATATCGATTATTTACTTTGTACTGTTAAATTACTCTCCCAGACATACAACCACACTTTCTTTCTTTCTCCTTTTATCCTACTTTCCTAGACATACAGATCTTTTTAGAGGGAAAAAATTCTGCACCAATTCAAAATTATCCCAACACCAATCTATTTATATTTTGATCTTAAGACACAGAAGTATAAACCAATCGAGTAGATATTAATTATTTCAAGCTTGTTCAACTATTTTATTATATCATATTCAGGTTGATATGATAAGTGTATTCTATTTTTTTGAACTTTTCTGTAACAGTTTGAGGTTTCTGCTCTGTGTATTATTTCTCCCACACAGTTCTGTTGCAAACAATTTCACCAAACAGGAGCAGAATGATCATTTATCCAACAATAGCTATCAATAAGTTATTTTGAATAAGCTCCCTCAAACAGCAAGCCAGCTTATTTTGATAATCTGCAGATTATCAGATTATCAGAATAATATAAATAATCAACAGCTGCCCCAAATAGACCCTACAGCAAAAAATAGATGATGGACCATCATCCTGTGTGTGTGTCAATATATGCACGTGTGGTGTGTGCGTCAATATATGCACGTGTGGTGTGTGTGTGTAGAGAGATAGAGAGAGAGAGAGAGAGAGATCCGATCAATTAAATTACTAGACAAAAAAGATCAACCTGGTAGGTTAGGCTCTTTCCTCCACCAGTTGGCATTAAGACAAAAACATCATAGCCACTCATTGTCGCATTAATAACCTCCCTCTGATTAGGGCGAAAGGAATGGTTTCCAAATACTTTCCGGTTGTAGGCCTAGTCAAAAAACAAGCACAAAAATGTTGACAAGAATAGTGAAAACATAAGCAAGGAATTGTCAATTATCAGTGAAATGGCACCTCAAGCTTTTTGCTCCAAGAAAAGTCCACACGTTTCCACCTTTTATCACCAGATCCTTCAATGTACGTAACATCAAGCAGCTTTGGGGTAAACACTTCCCTTTCCACGGGAGCAAATGAACAATTTGGCCCATCTGTGGTTGAGAATGACACTGGAGAATTCCAATTTCCATAATTACTGAATTCATTGCGCACATGAACCTGGGAATCAAATCTGACGCCATCATGGGTTCTACTTAACGGGGTATCAATTAGAAAACTCTGGACAGGAGTGGTTGAGGTCATAGTTTGTGATCTTCGTTGTCCTATATCTTGAAGGTACTTCTCTAACTGTTGGATTTGCTTATTCAAAAGCAATCTAGACAAGAAATGACCAAGCAAAAAAAATATGCATCATAGATTTATTGACATATACGTAAAGGTAAATTACAAAAATTTTAAAATATAGTCAAAGCAAAATATGAATACCTTTCCTGGCGAAGGACTTCAAATTGCTTAGGACTAAGATCACCAGCATTGTCAAGAAGCTCATTTGATATCGTAATCAACCTGTCCTTAATCTCCTGCAGATGATTTGATGCATTCGGACAAAGTGCTAGCTGCAACATTTATGAAATAGCGGTTATCATTATTATGTAAATAGAATTCAAAATTAAAAGAAAAAGGGGACTAATTACACTTATCTCCCGTACAAATAGTCAGCACTACACATAACTTTCATTTTTTTTGAAATTACTTACCTTTGTTTCTTAAGTTCAATCTTATCAGTTTGGGTTCAACAACTTAAAAAAATGGATTGAAGTTAACGTGTGATGTAATTTTGAACAACAAAATAGGCAAGTTTGATTTCATGAAAACAAAGAAGAGCTGTGCAATATTGACTGCTTTATAGCAGGCAAATGAAACTAACCTAAAATAAAAGGTTATATATAGTACTCACATACCTTAAAGCCATGTTTACATAGTTCACATAGTTCTTGGGGCAAGGTATGCCGGCTGAAAGCTGCAACATTACTTTCACTGCAATTTGCAGATGATGGCATATTTTTTGATACAGGTCCCTGAGGTGTACCTACAGCTTGATAATGGCTCATGACTATCTGGTCAACATCAATATTCTGTAACAAGTTGTCAATCATGTGAATCAACAAAGTATCATAATTTTTTAAAAAAGCTTAAATAAATAAGCAAGTACTCGATTCTACCTCTAAAATTTCATCATCTGTAGCATCTACATAACTTCTATCAGCACATCTGTCCACGCCTGAAAACGAGGCCTCGCAATTTTCCAAACTGGAGTTGCTACAAGGCATTGAAGTTATTTTTATATTCTCTCTTAACACATTAGACTCCTCATTAACCTTACTAATACCAATGCTGAAGCTTGAAGAAAAATCAGTGTGTTTTAAGGAACCACAGTTACCGGCCTCTGAGTCATTAAACAAGTTACAACCCCCTTGGTATGTTGAAGTATTTCTAGAGGCTAATAAACCAGCTCTTTGGAAACTCGAAGGTTCCTTCAAAGTTTTACAAGAACCTAAGCCCTCAGTTACAGTAGCATTTCCCCTAGAATTCTTTACAGGAGCAGTGATTCCAGGCCTCAGGTAATTCTTGTTTTTCTGTTGACTATTAAAAAGAGCTTTCCAAGCCTAATAGAAAACAAAATTTCAAATAGAGCAAGACAATAACATAGCAACAATATCAAATGAAGAGAAGCATCTTCTTGTGCCAACTTAAACAGCATTCAATCAGAAGACAAATTAGCAGAAAAGGAACATTTTTTATGATAGCAGGCAGGATAGAAGTTCGAAAACTCCAATCATTTATAAAAGAGAGCTCTAAACCTACCTTCTCAACCTGTGAGCTTTGTAATGTTCTAATTTTTTTAATGTTGCAAGCCATTGGCCTAGAAAAAACAAAGAAGGTAGATAAGAAATAAGATTACGAGCACACATTGATGCAAAACATCTAGCATAAGAATATCCGCAAGGTCCAGAGAAATTAGTAATTATTATTTTCTTTAAATTTAAGCCTTTCGGTGATCATTTTTCATCTTCAAAGCTGAAGCATCCGACCAACAAACTATTAAGCAGTCAAAGCAAAAGCTTGCTACATATTCTTTTTGAAAAAATAAAATAGACAAAAAGACAACATGTTCCCATAAAGAAGAAATATTAGAAAGAACAACTTACATATAAGAAAATAATTAACACAAATAGCGACAAAAAGATATAACCAATGCCTCTTTAACAGGAGCATGTGAGTCTGCGAAAGTTCTTGAGAAAAATGCAAACTGCCTAAGAGACTATGTGGTCGGCAGCACCACCAGTGCATTGGACTCTTAATATAGAGAATTTGGAACTGCAGCTGTTTATTTAAAAGAAAATGAAATTCAATGTAAAATAATAATGTATTTAAAATTGAGCCCTTAGTTAATCTCTTTATATTTGAAATTCAACCAATCTGACAGATTTCCAAATGCACGCATTAATGTAAAGTGTGCCCCCCGCCCGTCAAGCATGTGCAGTGGATAGAAGAGACTCATATGGCATTTAAATAAAATCATGAGCACGTAAGTCAATATCAATTTATGTAAATGAACTCAAATCAAAAAAAATATTTTAACAAAATAAAAAATATGTGGCACCCACCAAAACAAGAAGACAAATTTCCATGGAACTAAGTATAAGCATTTGTAACACACTGGAAAGAATCATATATATCTAACTAATAAGGTTGGAAGTGGAAGAATACAATTTCATTTATTCAAAAATAATATTCCGTATGCCTCATAACTTCTTTTGATGGACCCCTAATTCTAAGTTTAGGATATATAGTTGGCACAAGCACGATGCAATTAGATTTCAAATAACATTCAACTTTATCCAAAAAGCACAAATTTAAAATGACTACACATAACTCCCTGAGAAAATCTCATAAATAAGAAAACACATAAAAACAGCAACTTTGTAAGTAGCATTAGCGAAAAACTAAACCAATGAAACCTAATATAGTCCTAGAAATAGTAAATTGCTACAGTCCTATGTCAGTAAGTCCTGTTTACAAGAATTTCGCACGAATAATATGAACTTCTACTATAACAAATTAATAGAAATCATAGGTAACACCTGTACCATATAGACTAGCATAACAAAAATAATTATCAAACTCCAATAAGATCGACTTCAATGATCTTAACATCGTAAATAATAACAATTTTTTTTTTTATTTCTACCATTGCATTAGTAAAACAGAAGTTGAGGATGCTTTAAGAAAATGAAGTGTGAAAAAATAGCAGGACATGATGATATTTCAAAATAAGTGTGAAAATATTTATGATATCTTGAAATTTATTGGCTTACCAATCATTTTAATATTATTTTCAAAACTAAAAAAATGTTTAACAAATGGAGATAGTCTATTGCTTCCTTTTTTTTTAAAATAAATGGGTTGCACAAGAGTGCAAATTATATAGAAATTAAGTTAATGTGTCATACATTAAAGTATGGGAGACTAATAGAACATAGGTTACAACATGATACAAAAATTTCTCAAAACTCATGCCAAGCAAGTCTAGTATGAAAATTATGCATTTATTGAGAGGTTTGATGGAGAGCACAGAAAGAGTAGGTAGGATCTACATATGATTTTTGTTGATTTAGAAAAAATTTGTGATATGATTCCAAGAGAAATACTTTAGAGAGTTTTAGAAAAAAAAGATGTTGACATTGGTTATATTCAAATCATTAAAAATATGTATACCAGAGTTGTTACCTTTGTTCGAACAAAAGGAGAATTGACCAAGTTTTTATTATTTCAATTGTATTACACATGGATCAGCTTTGTTTTAGTTATCGTTTTGTTTTAGTGATAGATGTTCTTATTGAACATTTACAGGAGGATGAACATTGGTGTTTGTTTTTCACTGATAATATCCTTCTTGTGGATAAGAATAGAGAGAGTTCAAAGAGATTTGATTTATGAGGTCAACATTAGAGTTTAAAAGCTTTCATTTGAAAAAATCTAAAACTAAGTACATAAAATATAATTTCAATAATAGTGGATCAAGTAGCAGGGTTGTAACAATGGGTGATCAAGCCATTAAAAAGAGTGAACGTTTAACAATGGGTGATCAAATCATTAAAAAGAGTGAACGTCATAGATATCATGGGTTTATTGTTCAAAATGACGATATATAGATGGGAATATTGTTAGTATAAATCAATTTGGATGATTGAAGCAGAGGAATGCATCGCATCTATTGTGTGATAGAAAAGTACCACTTAGGCTTAAAAGAAACTTTTATAAGATGATGGTGAGACCTATAATGTTTTGTAGTGCATAATGTTGGCCAGTAAAAGAGAAGTATAAAAAAGTTAAGTGTTGATAAGATGAGAATGCTCAAATGGATGGTGATTTCACATTTAGAGAAAACAAAATGTGAAATGAATATATTCATGAATGGGTTAGAGTAGCTCCAATGATAAAAGAAGATTAGAGGATCAACTTAGATGATTTTTATCACATTAAACATCAATCATCTAATTAAGAAAGTACATGTTTTAGATTTCATATATGTTAAAGGTAGAGGCTGAACTAGAAAAGCTTGGGTATGTTGTGGGCATGTTGTATAAAAAATTTTATCATAATTTATTATAATTAAATGAAAATATGACACTCAATAGGACAAAATGGAGAAAAAAGATTCATCTAGTCAATCCCAATTAGTGGGATAAAAGCTTGATGCTGTTGTACATGACCACCATATAGGAAAAGATGGTACTAAGTCAAGTACCAGCAAGGTATGCTAAACCCTGAAATGGAAACTAATTGTTGAACATGAAATCAAAATAATTTTCAACGACCAACCCACATCCGTTGTCAACCTACCACACACTACGGTTGATGAATCTCCATCTATTGCGCCAAGACCATCAGTAGAGTCTCCCTCTAATCCACAAAAAACATTGAACACCACCATTAAAGCCCTCTTCCAAGCCACAAAATAAACAAACTTACAAGCTATTTAATAAAAAATTAAAAAAAATTACATATATATTTAAGATATTAATCCAAATTTTATTTCATATCAAAATAAAAAAGTGATTCTAAATGGCCACTTAATTGTTGGGAAATTATAAACTGTGAGTTTTGTGAATTTTGTTGTGTCTCATCTAAATTTGTATTAATAAATCATAAACCTTAAGATATCTTACATTGCTAACAAAAATTAGAGTTCTCTTTTTTCGAGAACAGCTCGTGTTCAGCTTGTTAAGTAGCTTATAATTGAACCGTTCATGAAATAAGCGAGTCAAATACGACGAATTTTTTTAAGCCCGGATTATAAATGAGCAGAACATTGACAACCCTTTGTTTGATCATGTTCAACTCGTTTTAGCTCGAGTTTAAATCATTATAACTAATGTGATTATGTGATTTTGCATCTTCTATTGCTTATGAATGATGCAAATTTGAATGCAGTACCCTACAAATATTTTTCTTATTGATTCAATTAAATAAGCCAATTCGAGTCAAACACGCATAGACTAATCACGAGTCATTTCGAACACGAGATAATTACGAACAAAAAATATATATATAATTAAGTTGACACAAACACATGTTCAACTCTCTCTCAAGCTTGGCTTGTTTATAACCCTTGCCAAGATGAATAAATAAATGAACCGCTCTTTGTTATTTCATGTAACAAGAATATGCATGATAAATGTATTTACCTTGTTGATAACATTTCTCTATCATTACTTTCAGGACGAGGCTTTTGTGTGGACAAAGAGAAGAGAAAGTTTGAGCTTAAAAATTTATACTGGGATGAGAAGTTCTCCAAAGCAGTGGCATGTTGCACCCAATTGACTTTGGGAGGCTTGTCCTTGGAAGGGCATTCCTTCTTAATCACATTTCTGTCACACATGAAGGCGAGAGGAACATGTATTGGACTATTAAGAAAAAAAAATATTACAGCGCATAGGAGAATATGGATTTTTTTTAAAAAAAAGAAAATTTACATATGTAGCATGCAATAATGATGTATTTGTATATCTCACACCCAAACGTTCATATTTACATACAAAGCACTTTGGTGTTTTAAACATATGCATAAAATGTTTAAAAACTTGAGTGTTGTGTTTGTAAATATGAAACTTTAACTGTGAAATATGTAAATAAATAAGAATTGCATGCTATGTATGCAAATGCCCCTGAAAAAATAGTACCTAATGTCGTCAAATTTTAATAATAAATTGCTGTATGCCCAATTTAGTGTACCTGGATCGTTCCAAGTTACTCATAAGCAGATAATTGCATTAGCAATGAGGGGTAGAATGCCCAGTAATTAGTAAAACCTGCAAAAAGTAGGAAAAATCATAAGATATACATGCTAGCCAAATAAAAAAAAAACAATTCTAATTAAACCAATACAGAACCATGCCAATAAAGTAATGTAGGAGCCAAGTTCACTAACTTAAATAGTAGAAAACAGAAAAAGGAGTGCAAACCTTATGCAGGCAAACATGTCATTTAAACAATAACATGTTCATTCTTTATTCCTAAAAAGAATTAGATAAGAAGAGTACACATGCTTCAACGTAAAGCACATAACATGAATTTTGTACTGAAAAAGCTTGGCATAGCAACAGGTAACAGGCTAAACCGTACTCAAGTGCAAGAGGTTGCCAAGGTGAACAAAATTTCATATTTTAGTATAACATCTCCGTATGTGAGACGCAGTAACGTATGCCTATATAGCCACTCATGAATTCCATTGTTCTCAAATTAACAAAAACTAGAAAGACACGACCTATCAATTTAGAAGCATGTTGGTGGTGACATAAATGCCAAAATAATATAAGCTTAGAGAAACTAATCGTGATTCTTTAACACAAAAATTTGAATTTTGGAGTTGGGCGCATGTTGAGGATTGGGAAATAGACTACTCAACCTGCACGCACTAATAAGATATAAATGCCCGTCACTGACATAGCAGGCTTCATTGGCACTTAGCAGCTGCAATTTTCTCCATCAGCGGATAAGTCTAACCGCTGCTAAAAGCAGCCAAACAAGAAGCTAAAAACCTCTCACACCATACTAATATAAGATATTATCCAGAATCTCGATAAAAGATGTTGAGAAATTAGGGCGAAGCAAAATAAAAATTGACACAAATCCAGAAGAACACACAGAGATTCACAAGGTTAGATAAAGATGTCTATATCCTCGGGAGCAGAGCGGTGACTTTCTTTTCAATATTCAGAAAAGAGTACAGAATGCAAGATTCAGAATCTCAGGGTCTCGTAGACTCGCCTAGAGTTACAAGTAGGACATATATATAACCCTATAGTACAATATGTAATTACTTAAATTATCCCTGTACCAAACCGCGGGGTGTTGCCCCCGCACCCCAAACTCACATAATGAAACTCCCCCAATTGGACAGATACTTCCGCTCCACTTCGCTCGTGGGCTCCGCTCCGCTCCAGCATTTGTCTCATTTATGATATATAATTCATACTTAACAAATCTCCACCTTAGCGAATATTCAGCCTCTTATGAGAAATACATATGCATAACAAATCTCCACATTGACTAATATCCAGCCCCTTAGGAGAAATACATATGTCTAACAAATCTTCACCTTGGCGAATATCCAGTCCCTTAAGAGAAAATACATCATGAAATTTCTTATGCACCAATGTGGGTTGAGCCACCACGCTTTCGCTGCACTCTCGTTGATCCCCCAACCCACTAAATTTCAAGAGATATTTCTTCATTTCAAGAGACTCCAAATTCTTGTATTATGAGTCATGCCTAACAAATCTCCAACTTGACGAATATCCAGCCCCATTAGGAGAAATGCATATGCTCAACAAATCTCCACCTTGGAGAATATCCAGTCTCTTAGGAGAAATACATATGTCTGACAAATCTCTACCTTGGCGAATATCCAGTCCCTTAGAAGAAATATATATGTCTGACAAATCTTCATCTTGGCGAATATTTAGCCCCTTAAAAGAAATACATGTGTCTGACAAATCTCCACTTTGGTGAATATTCAGCCCCTTAGAAGAAAATACATCATGGAGCTTCTTATGCATCAATGTGGGTTGAGCCACAAATCATTTTAAATAATCTCTTAATTAAGATTTCCTTAATTAAGTTTCTCAGAAAAGCAACATAATCTTTCCAAAAAAAATATTAAAATATTCTCTTAATTAAGTTTCCTAGAAAAGCAATAGAATCTTTCCGAAAAATGATTGAAATATTTTTTTAATTAAATTTCCTTAATTAAGTATTATTTCCTTAATTAAGTATTTCTCAAGTATTTCTCTTAATTAAGTTTCCAAGAAAAATGACTTTTCCTTAATTAAATTTTTCTTAATTAAACTTTCTCAGAAATCATTTTCCTTAACTTCTCTGTTTTTTTCCCAGAAAAGCTCCAACTCTGCTTTCTAGTAAAAGCTCATTTTTTTCCTTCTTAAAAAGCTCCATCTTTGTTTTCCTTCCAGAAAAGCTCTTGCAATTCTGGAGCCTGTGCCTGCAATTCTGCATCCTGGAACCTGGAATATCACAAAAGGGCGAATATTGATTTCCTTCCAATCGGGCAGCCCCAGCTTTCATTTTCCGAGTGCAGCAACAGATTCTCTTTCCTTGCGTTTCCTGAGTCCTGGAATATCTCCAGAATATCTCAGCGCTAAATTTCCTTTTCCGTTGACTTTCCTTTTCCGCGTGAAATTTATTTTCCCACGTCCTCCCTTCCAATTCTCTCCAGAATATCTCAGCGCTAAATTTCCTTTTCCGCGTGAAATTTATTTTCCCGCGTCCTCCCTTCCAATTTTGCTCCTCCGCCGCTCCGTCCAACAAAGGAAATAAGATTGGAGGAATATTTCATCGCCTCTAGTATAGGAAAATCCCCTCCAGCAGCAAAGGAAATCGGAAGCTCTTCCTTGTCTGGTTCGTCTCCTTTCTTTTCTGGTTCACCTCCAGCAAAGGAAATTTGAAAGTTCCTTCCCGCAGCTGCGGAATCAAATGAAAAATCAAAGATTCCTTTCCGATTTTCTCCTCCACTCCAGGCTGCAACCAAACTTTCCTTTTCTGGCGTCCTCGACTTCGCCTGCCGCAGAAAGAACTTATTGAAGTAATTCTTTCTTTTTAATCTATACACCAATAAATTATAAAGCACAATAAAGCTCGAGGTAAAACCACTCAATAAAAACAATAATATGAACATAGCAGCATGTCGAATGCTTAAAAAGGCTTATTTGAATCATTTGTCTGTTTTTTCAACGTTTTATATTGCATGAACCTATAAAACAAGATTTAAAAATCTAATAAGCATACCGCAACGATGGTTTCTATGAACAAGCTAGCACTCCAGCCTTCCTAAAAAAGTTTCATCATAAATACAAATGGAGATAATACAGCTCCGAATCCCTGCATGAAGTAGCATTCCGCCTGAAGGAGAAACAAAAAATCAACGAATCCAGTATCAATTGACTGAGAACGGGATCGGAGGGTAAGAAATGTAATCCAAACCAAGTTCCTAAATCGATAACAACAAATGCCTCAAAATCCATGGCGGATAAGGAGGCAGTGAAAATAACAGAGAGCAAAAGGTTAATGGAGACTTACAGGAATCCAACGACAGCAGAAGAACCCCATAAATGGTGCGCCCGAAGATGGCAGTGCGCAAAATGGATCACTGAGAAGTCGAATCGCGTTCGGATACAGAGAAGGAAGTGAGGAGGGTTTCGAAAGGGTTTTTTGAGGGGATAGGAGTGAAAGAAATATTTTCGCTTCGCTCCTATTCTCCGTCTTCAAATTTGAGCGCGCAAATCGCACTGGAGGAGGCGTATTTTATGAAGATGCGAATCCAGAGGATGTGGACCAAATCCATGAGTCGTAATGGACGAGATTAGGTCACAACCCTGCCCCTCTTACATTACAACGATGGTGCTTCAGCCCGAAATTTTAAGAACTTAACATATAGCTAATGAAGAGAGTAAAACTATTTTTCATTTTTTTTTCCTTTTTTGTATTACATATATATTGATCCGACCTTCAAATTTTAGGGGCATATTTGACAAATTTTTTAACAAAGAAAGTAGAATAATATGATAAATGTTTTATACTAATTTAATCTTTTTTTTATTATTTTGTAAGCTTTATCAAATTGAATTTTTAGATGATCGAAAAATGGTATAGATATTTCCAAAACTAATTATTTTTCAAGCCACTCAAGGCAAGTGTTGGTTTACTTTGTATAGTTCATGATTGATTCGTTTCTGAAAGCGAATGAGTTAAATACTAATATTTTATTTTAGTTTGATTTATAAATAAGTCGAACATAAAAATATATGTGTTTGATAGTGTTTGATTTGTTTTGCTTTGATTAATTAAATAATTTAAAATGATTATATATACAATATTAATGTATATTAAAATTAATTTTTAAGTTTATTATGTTATAAAAAATTTAGACTAAATAAAAATAATTTATATCATTTTAAGTAATTTAATCTCGGAAACATGAGCTTACATTGATGGCCAAGATTAAAACTACTAAAACCATAATAAATATAAAAACTGAAAAAATCAAAGGCTCCAAGTCCTACCTTGCATCCTACAGTCATTCCTCGTGGTTTTCATTTCGAGCTTACAACTGAGAAATCGAGCGAAAACCTTTGTGTTTCTGCTAGGATTAGAGTTTGCTTGTCTTGCCAATATCGTTGTCATGCGAGTCGAGACCAAGTACTTGTCTCATTGATCGTCCCTTACATCTCTCGCTCTTGCTTGTGGCTCTTGACTCATATCTATGAACTTTCTCTACTCCGAAATCATATCCTCCATTATTTTGTTTAGTCATTCTCCTAAAATTTACTTGGTTCACCCCTTTCTCGTCTCTCATTTTATTAATTGTATAACATGTTATCCCCATGGGGGGGGTGGGATACGAATGTGATTGCTTCATTCTCAGTTTTGGGTACAATGTTCCAGCAAGTCTTAAAATTTATAATTTCATTAAGTCTATGTAATTGCAAGAGCAGGGGTCGGTTATTGTATGCAGCCTTACCTTGCATTTGCTGTGAGGCTGTGAATCAAACGAACAAAGTTTTTACTCATTGAAAATATAAGATGTGAACATGAGCATAAAAAATATTCGAAGAATAGTTTTCTACGATTTGAACTCAGTAAATGTATATATGTATCTAAACATAATACTGCACATCTTTGCCCCTCATTTTTCCCTCACACAGCCATCTTCCTCTCTTCTCTCCGCTCTCCCACGTGAAACTCTTCCTTGAATAGGCTGTAGCTCCTTCTAGGATCTCCCCATTTTCGCACCTCTCTTATCCCGCTGTAACACCACTCCCTCCATCCTTTCTTCACCTATAAAGCAATCCACCTAGCTGCTCTCACATGTGATAAAGTCCACACCCAAGCTCCATGTCCATTTTCATCTTGTTTCACATAGCTTCCCAATGCCCATTTGGCATGCTTCTCATCTTTTCACTGGTTGAATTTGGCAACCTAGCTGAGCACCACAGTGTCGCACAGCAGCACCACTATTACTATAACCTTGTTGACACACTTACCCGCAATTCCAGGTCCCATTCTCCATTTCCCCTTACCAAAAGCTGGAGTACATATTCTCCATTCTCTACCTCTTAAAGTTCAACATTTACACAACTCCTCTTAGTACTCAAGAGTGGATCCCAACCTCAAATTCGGACTTTGCCCTTCGTTGTCCTTACCCTCCCACGTTGGGTCTACGAAGGCAGTTTGCCAGCCTAAAAAAAGGAGCAACTATTAGGTGTGGAGTACGCACATGCGGATTTTGTTGTATTTTAGCTTTATTGGTTGTATTGATGCAACCAATACAATCAAAATACAACAAAATCTAGATGATAATGTGTAGTGTGCGCATGTGTTGTTGTGATTGGGTGTGTGGAGGGTTTATGGAGGAGTGGTGGTGTGTGTGGTGTGGTGTGTGTATGTGTTGTTTTGGTGTGGTGGTTGTGTGGAGGTGTGATGGTATGTGTGGTGGTGTGTTGTGGTGTGTGGATGTGCTATTATGGAGGTGTGGGGTGGTGTGCAGATGCGTTGTTGTGGTGTGGTGGGGTGTGTGGAGGTGTGGAGGTATGGTGGTGTGTGTGAAGGTGTGGTGGTGTGTGTGGTGGTGTAGTGTGTGGATGTGTTGTTGTGGACTGGTGGGGTGGTGTGTGTGGATGTGATGTTGTGGACTGGTGGGGTGGTGTGTGTGGATGTGCTGTTGTGGACTGGCAGGGTGGTGTGTGGAGGTGTGGATGTGCCGTTGTGGAATGGTTGGGTGGAATTGTGTATGGTGTTTTCGTGGAGTGGTAGGGTGGTGTGTGGATGTGTTGTTGTGGTGTGGTGGGGTGTGTGGATGTGATGTTGTGGAGTGGTGGGGTGGTTTGTGTGATGGTGTCTGGTGTGGTTGTGTGTGGAGGTGTGAGGTGTGGTGATGTGTGTGGTGGTATGGTGTGTGGATGTGTTGTTATGATGGAGTGGTGGGGTGGTGTGTGGATGTGTTGTTGTGGTGTGATATGGTGTGTGAAGGTGTGGTGGTGCGTTGTGTGAATGTGTTAGATTATTGCATTCTGATTTATATTAATTTAGCTTTTTCATCATAGTAATATAATGGTTAAGACTAAAGAGGCTGGTTCACATGCAATATGGGACAAAGAAGCAAAAATAATATTTTGTGACCTTTGCCTCAAGGAGATCAATATGAAAAAAAGGCCTGCGACCTATTTTAACAAACAAGGGTGGCAAAATATTATAAAAAGTTTAAGAAAAATACAAATAGTGAGAACGATAGGATGTAATTAAAAAATTTATGGGATCTGCTGAAACGAGCTTAAGGTGAGATCTGATGAGGCAAAAGATTGATGCTTTACGGAGTGACATGCCGAAAGACTTGCAGTATAATTTTTGAAATATCCACTAATTTAGTGAAATTTCATTTTGTTTTTAAATTGACGTAGATGTTATATGAATTTGTAGGTGGTTCTTGCTGCCAAAAAAAAAAATAAATTCGATGGAATCGATCTTGACTTGAAGGAGAAGTTGGATCATATGTTTGAGGATGTAATGGCAACGAGCAACAATGCTTGTGCCCAAGTGAGACAGGGTTTGGTGGCACCTCCAAAACTTAGGAGCTGACCAATTGGGTGATTCCACCGAAGTCCCCAGCCCATACCTCCATGAACTTGAGTTTATCTGTCTTTCTAAGCGTTCGCACATTAAGAATAAAAAGAATGTGGGATCTGCTTTCTTTATAAGCCACATCTCAAGCAACTTTTTTCGACCAAATTCTGGAAATTTTGAATGCAACTACAAAAATTTTTGAGAACTTGTCGTTGTGCTTATTTGTGATAGAGTTGCTTGAAGATCTAACCGGGAGAGATTTTTTCGTCAAGATACCCGATGACAGTAGGGTGGCATACCTAAGATATTTTTATGATCGCAAGAACATTTGAGAGAACTGTTTCATTTATAATTGCATGGGAAATTTATATTTGTTTTTGGTTTTTCATTTTGCTTTTGATATTTGAACTGCATGGGACATGGCTTATTTATTCATGCTTATATGTTTATTATGTTGTTTGTAATGATATATGATTGTAGCTAATTCATTAATGTTTTTGTGTTAGCTAGTACAATACTGACCAACATGGATGCAACCAGAGAAAACACAGAAGGAGAGTTGCAGCTACCGTATGCTTGATGTACGAATATTGTAACTCGTACATAGAACGCTCTCCTTGCATGAAACCTTCACATGTTGGGGACAAATGTGTTGGAGAGTTGCTTGTAGGCCACCCAACAAGATATAGCAATATGTTTCGCATCACACAAGCAATATTCAATGATTTGTTTTAGGAACTACACAGAAATCATAAACTTCATGGCTCTTTCAAAACAACTTCGTGAGAGGTGTTGGTGATAATCCTCTACATTTTATTGCAAAATAAATCTATGTGAGAAGCAATGAAGCGATTTCAACACTCCTCCAAAATAATTTACAGATAATTCTCAATGGGGTTAAATGCACTTGTAAGTTTTCTTCACAAGTCATAAAACCAACAGATCCTACGTTCGAACGGGTCGCCACAAAGTTTTCATACGATGCACGGTACTGCTGACCTCATTTTTAGTGAGGTCTAAATTGTTTTTCTACAGTTAGGATCTAGTCATAGTACTTTCTTACTGACTATCCTAAAAGACAAGCGAGGGAACCCACATCCCTTAGAGATTCAAAACATTTCTTAATTCATTTATGAAGACTCATATGGATGGTCTCAAGTCTTCAGCTCTTGGTTGAGATGGCTACAACCAACATGTGTAGGCTCAATAAAAGAAGTTATTACAGGACTACGAGGCTTTAGGAGGCCTTTATAACTTAGACACTCACCTCACACTACATACACAGTCACCTCACTCATACACACCACCACATACACATTCCATGCCTCACATACCCCATCCGTAATTCACACACACTCATACACTACCATAATTCACATCACCCCCATACCTTATCCCTAGAATTCACATACATCACATACACTACAATAAACTCTCACCATCGAAATCCATTCAATTTACCATAACCCCAAAAATAGTCAAAATTGCTCAAAAACCTCAATTTCACTCAAGAATCCACCAAGACCAATCATAGGCACCAAATCTACCCAAATCCATCCAAATCCAAATTAAAATTAAAATTCCCCAATTCCAAATTCAAATCCAAGTTCCTTGAGCCATAAATCTAAATTCACCACGAGTTCACTTTGAACCCAAAAGACACCAAAATTGAACCCACATGCCAGATTCAATTTCACCAAGCCTAAGTCCTAAATTCCATCATGGCAAATTCAAGACTTCATGAAACCCATTATGATCAATTTTCAATGCTATTAACA